ACTTAAGATAACTTTCAATTATCAGTCTTTCTGAGTAATCCAGATGTAAAGTGGAAGATGCATACATAAGCATTGGGAATTAATAAGAACGGGTATATTTAGTATAGAATTAACGGTCAGCAAAGGGCATAGGCCTTTATCATTTTATGGGTCAGAGTTTGGAACTCCTAGCCCTACAGGTTGCAAATTTTGAGATATAGCTTTCTTGGACATTAAGAAAATTTGTTTATATAGTCCCGTATCCCAGTAAGATGATTAGAAAGACTAAACATCTGAACTGGAACATTGCATGTTGAGGTTGTCAAGATTTACTAAGGAGGGCTGGGGGTATAGCTCAGGTGGTAGAGTGCTTACCTTGCATGTATAAGGCCCCAGGTTCAATCCCCAGCACCACCCCCCTCCCCACTGCCAAAAAAAAGAAAGAAAAAAGATTTACTAAAGATTTGTATAATTGAGTCAATAAAATACTTTGCGTAAAGTAATATGTTGTTCCTACTTGATGCTACAACTCCCTTTCACTAGCTACCCCTTGCCCCTTTCTTTTTGGTATTGGGGATTGAACTCATGCGCTCAACCACTGAGCCACATCCCCAGTCCTGTTTATTTTTTTGAAGTTTTACTTAGAGACAGAGTCTCACCTTAGTTGCTCAGTGTCTTGCCATTGCTGAGGCTGGCTTTGAACTCTTGATCTTTCTGCCTCGGCTTCTGGAGTCCCTGGGATTATAGGCATGTGCTACTGCTTGACTAGCTACCCATTTTAATTAAATTGCAGCTGTTAGCAGTCCAGATTCTCCCCCACCTCACCCCAGTACTGGGGATTGAACTCAGGGCCTAGCACATGCCAGACAAGTACTCTACCACTGTGGTATATATCCAGCACCCCTGTCCCCTAAAAAATTATTATGATTTATTTGGTACTAAGGATGGAAACCAGGGGTGCTTAACCACTGAGCCACATCCCCAACCCTTTTTATTTTGAGACAGGGTCTCCCTAAGCTACTTAATCCTCACTAAGTTGCTGAGGTTG